AGTTTGACCAGAACTCAATTGGAGAAGTTTGACCAACGGCAGAGAAGAAATCAACATGTAATTAACCAAATGGGGTATAAGCAGTGCCTAAGGCTCCCTTTGGGGAGGCAGAGCTTCGGCTGTGAATCCTGTCTCCTTGCTGCAAGTAAATCAAAGTACCTTGTTACAACCTCCTCTCCTAGAATAGCACACCCCAAGCAGCAAACCCTTTGAGTTCTCTAACGCTTGCCCCTTATGAAGAGGCAGGACCTTCTGGGAGGCTTTAAGCCTTTACAGCAACTCCTGAGTGGGGAAGGATGGAGTTAGCTAGGGCAGGCCCTGGCCGGCCTGGGTAGCCTGGTGAACCACAGTCCCTTAGCCCAGGCCATCAGGCTGTACTAAGAGACCGACTGCGGGGCTGTCTCCTGAAATCCTCACTGCTACCCGGCAGATAGGTGTGACTATTATTTTGCAATTTTGTCAGTAGTGGCGAGGAAACCGAGGGACAGAGAGGTTAAGTAACTGGAACCGGGTCACACGGTGAGTGGTTCAGCTCCTGGTGTTACATGCGCTGGCTTTAGGGACTCCTCTTGACCTATTGGGTGTTTCGCTTGGCTTTCATCGGCGGCAGGCCGGCCGGGTGGGTGAGGTCACCTTCTCTCCTGGGGCGGTGATCTTGGGCCATCCCTGCTACGGGAGGGGGGAGGCGGGCGCGGCGTGGCCCGCCATCCGCCGCATATCTCGATGGGATTCGCTGCAGCCATCTGGTGGCGCCATTTCCCAAAGAGATGGTCCCTCTAGGGCTGCTAGTTGGCTTCCGTTACCTGGTTGAGGCTCTGAGATGTTTTGCATTTTACATGTTGGGCGTGAGGCTGGCCTTCTTTCGCGGGTGGGTGGGTTACCTCATTCTTTCGGCTTTGGCCCTCCCTGCATCCGCGCCCCTAGGCGAGGACGAGCGCGCGGGAGGGGAAGCTTCCCCGGCAAACGCACGCGGGGCTGGTGCCTGCGGCTCCTCGCCGCGCGCCCTGGGACCCCTCGGGCCCTCGAACCCCAAGGGATTCAGGCGCGGACATCCGATAACGAGGTCAAGGCCTGCGGAGGGATAGTCTTTGCCTCGCATTGTAAGGAAAGAAGAGTCATGACTAAGAGCGAGAAGTTTAACCCGAGCTGTAGCGCCTGACTCAGGGGGCCCCCAGACCGAAGTTGGGAAAGCAAAGGAACTGTCCCGGGAGGCTCCGACTCGGCGGGGGCGGGGCGGGGGCGGGAGCCGAGAGGGAGGCCTGTCTGGTGCCCGCTTTCCCTGACCCCGCGGAGGACGCGGAGCTCAGCGCCCCGCTTTGGTCAGGACCGGCGAGCTGGCCGAGGGAGTTCGCGGGAGGGGAGGCGGAAAGCCAGGTTGCAGTCGGCATTCCTGCGCCCGCCGATGGTCCTTGGGGGCGAAGCAGGAGCCATCCCTGGGCCACCTGGCGGGCAGAGCTGTAACGGTGGGTGCGTCCAAAGCCAGTGTGAAGGCTTCAAGTTCCCAGACCTCTTTGTACCAAGTACAGAACTTGCTCTATGAGAAAGGCCTGAAGGCAGTGAATGGATGGATACTTTTGGAGTTAAGTAGAATTACTAAAAAAATTATACCTACAGGCGCTCTCCCTTCCGAGAGCACTCCCTCTCTCCACATCCCCTTCCCCCATTACCTTCCTCACTCCCATGCTCCTTCCTGTGCCTCTATAACTTGTTTCTTCAACCCATTTCTTCTACACATTACTTCTTCTACCTCTGGGATTTTATAAATAAATGTTCTCTTTATCGTTTGAAAAAAATTATACCTACAACGATAATCTACTGCAACATATCATCATCATTTTTTTACCCTTCTCCATCTGCAAGAGTGTTTTTAGTCAACAGCTGACTTACTTACGGTAGACGGAGAAAGCTGGTTTATTGTTCGGTGCTTCTGTCAGGAACAGCGGAAGGCACGTTATGGAGGCTGTCTGTGGTTGGTGCCTTGGGAGAGACCCAGGCCCAGTTTCTTTTATTGTTCCCTTGAGGATGTCTTTTGGGCCTATACATTTTGGGAGAAAGAATGGGGCTAGGGCGTGGCATGCCCTACTTGTGCATCCCTAGCTGCTCTGCTTCCAAAAGAAAAACAACAAAAATTCACCCAAACAAAAACACCTGGAGTGGGGGAGGCAGTTCAGCGGTATGGACCTCAGGAAAGGAAATGCCATTTGCACAGACCCACCCAGCCACCTTTTGTTTACCGAATAGGACCTCAAATTTACTGGACCAGTAGTAATTCTTTGGTCTTTGAGGTTAAAAATTTTCAAATTTGTGTCACCTGTGTACACCTAGTCTATTTTGCACTCTTAATTAAAGTAATATTTATGAAGTGCCTCTTATATGCAAGGAGCCTGACAGTATACTCCCCTCGCCCTTGTCCCTTTTTCCCCAATTTCCCTGTCTCTTTAGTCGCAGCAGTTTATTGCTCACTGATGTGTTGCAACTGCTGATGAGACTCTTGAAGCATCTGCTAATTGCTCACATTAGGAAATCCTGAATGGAAACGGCAAAATCCCAAAGCCATTCATAGAGGGCGGTCCAGAAGTCACAGTGTCTCTGGGAAGAAAGACCTGCTTCATTGTCTGATCTGAACAGCAGGGGTCACTGGCTAAGCTGGTGTTTCACTCTGGTGGGAATTTATTGCCATCAGATAAGTGCACAAAGTCAATACAATAAAGCCTGTTGGCTCTAAAGCAACAGATGGAATCTGAGTTCCTGCACACAAGTCCGATCTTTCCAGAGACAAATCCCAGGATAAAAAGCCCTTTGTCATTCTTACTGAACACATTTTTAGGGACACCACTTCATGCTCTGTGTCTGTCTGTCTGTCTGTCTGTCTGGGTCTTTGTCTATAAGGGTAGAATTTTATGAGGCCCAAACCAAGATATTTGTCATATTTATTAAAGTGATTCATCCTTTTGTGACATACTAGTGCAGTTTGCTGTGGGTCAGGGGGGCTTCCAGGGCAGCTTTTTCCAAGCTCAGCATTCCCATTTATTTTTATGGCACTGGCATAGCAAGAGGTGCTCCCATAATATCTTAACAGGCAAAGAGAGGGCTGGTGAACCCATTACTAGAAGTTAAATACTTACATTGGGAAGTGGTACATGTCACTTCCACTCACATTTCATTGGCCAAAATAAGTTAGAAGGCCACCCCTCACTTTAGAGGGGTGGAATGTGCAGTCCTGCCCTGTGGCTAGAAGTGGAGAACTGGATATTAGGGGGCAATAGGAATGCCTACCACATCTATGTACACATTTCCTATCTAATTCCATGCTGTGTATTGAGCTTAAGCTACTATTGCTGATCCATAATTGTCAAGTTATGAGTTAACACTGGTAAGGTTTATAGATTAATATGCTGTAAAGTTGGAGTCAGTGAAAAACTTGACAAGTGGAAAATGTTACCTGAACCTTTGTCTATGGTTATGCTTTGATTGGTATCAGAGCAGAGTCTATATGACAGCAAGCTAAGTTATGCTTTGATTTCATTGCATTTGTAACTGGCATGTTGACTGATATGAATAAATAAAAACAGACCACTGATAGGGGGGCAAGATAAATATAAAGCTGCTCCCTGGAACTGAGAGGCCATATACAAAAGTTCTACATTTCTAATTGGCAGTTTCAATGAACTTTCTATAGGGAATAAGAGCATTACTGGAAGAACATACCAAAGGAAATATGCTTTTAAAATGTGTTTACATTATATATAGAGAGTGCTTACAAGAATGTAACTTGGGGGGGCAAAACTCTTTTTTAGAAAGAAAACTACTTTCTGAATTAATTTATTTTAGCAAAATAAAAGCCTTGAGCAAACTGAAATGCATTGGGGTTATAGCTAGGGATACACATTTATGATATATTTTGTATAACATGCATTGCTGGTCTTCATGGATCAGATTTTTAATGGCGTTTTGAGGTGATCCAGCTATGAAAATACATTGAATGAAATGTAAATTGCCAGGAAATTAGATAAAGACAGTAGATTGAAGGAAGATAAAGGAACCCTCTAAGCTATTTGGATGCTCTTCTTATCCACAGAACAAGGAATGCCAAAAAAAGGAAGAGCATGCCTAGACTCCCCAGGGGAGGGGAGTCAGATTCTTTTTGCCACAGAGGGAGAAATAAGGATTCTTAGATTCTCTTCTTCAGCATAGTTGCCATCCAAGGAAGCAAATCCTGTGGTTTAGTTTGAGATATATATTTGGTACTGGGAGATACCCGCTTCTCCTAAACCAATATCTGGGGCAGGCTGAGGGTAAAAACTAGGCTGGGCTCAAATCTGACTTCACTACTTTCTAGCTGTGAGATCTGAGCAAGTTACCTAAACTCTCCGTGCCTCAGTTTCTCCGTCAGTCAAGTGGGATACTAATGCACCTCTGAGGACTAAAGGAGCACAGCACTTGGAAATATAGAGTAAATACTTTATATAACTACTATCTATTATGTTTTTCCACCAAGTCTAGTGCATTAGGTCAGCCAACTCTACTCACGGAGGCTTCCTCTGGGAACTTCTCACGTGGATGTAATGAAGTGTTAAGCGACTTACCCAGGTTGAAAATAAAGCCCCCAATCCCTGGGAAAGTTGGAATGACACTTGGCTGTGAAGGTCTGGGCCAGGTATGAACTCCACACCATCTTCCCAGGGAAGGGAAAACAAATTGGACTTACACTTTGCACACATTGAAGCAAAAATCATGCTCACTATATTGGAAAGAGATTTAATTATTTTTAAAATGTTGTTACTGTTGTTGGAATTTGAATTTGAAGTCAAAAATTGTATTACAAAATAGATGACAAGTAGTTGAAATATTAACTGAGGGAAACAGTCCTGGCACTCCAAGCAAAACCCTTGTAATTAATCGTCACTGGTAATCTCCTCAGGGTAACCATTACTAATTAGAAACATGTTTTGTCAACCCATCCAGATTCTAAGCCTGGTGATGGCAGGAGTATATATATTTTTGTGCTGCCACAGCCTCAAGACTAAGCAATATGTTTTGCATACAGCAAGTGTATAATTGATGTAGTTTATTACTCTGCAGCGAGATCTGAATAGAAAATTGTACACTAAAGGCAGACACAGAAGGATTTCCTGGTATGGAGCCATTCTCTTTTCCAGTCACATGCCATCATTGAGAGACAATCCAAGTGCAAGGAGTGAATTTGGTACTGACAGGGTGAGTAACAACATCTGGAGTCTGGCCTCCGCCCTGGGCCTTGACCTTCTCCATCAAAAAAGAGTAGACAGATAGTGCTCGTAGGAACATTATTCCAACAGTGTAAGAGTATAACCTTGTAAAATCCACTAGGGCAGTGTGACTCGTGTTTTGCAGAGCAGTTCACACTGAGTGTCAGTCTCAGCGTAAACAAATTGAAATCTCGTGGTGTACATGAGGGAATTCTCAACTCTCTATTCCTAGCCCCACCCCACCATGTTGGCCAACATGGTTCTATTAATCCGTTTTCTTCCTACTTTCTTAGAAGGCTAACATGCTGAGAGGTGGTACTTTATTATGTGATTAAAACTTTGTGTTACTTTCTAAAAATTATGCTAAAACATATATAACATAAATTTTACTATTTTTCCCATTTTGAAGTGTACCGTTCAGTGTTAACTTTTTAATCAAAGCGCTATTCACATTTTGGGAGAGCACTTTCTTTAGCCCTTTTACCCAAGGAGGGAATAGAAAAGTAGGGACACCCTTGTCATTTAATGGGTTCTCTCAGCAACAGCTCTGTAAAATGATTTAGTGGCAGAGGAAATAGAATTTACTGATCAAAATGAAAATGTTGTATTATGAGCAATAGCCGTTATTCTTTTTTCTCAACAGAATTGGTTAGACTGCCTAATAACTTAATTCAGATCACAGTTCCTTAAGCTGAGTCGACTCCAACCAGCAAGAGTAGACAGAGATCTGCTTATTCTGGTAACTGCAGCTATTCAAAGATCATCTCACTTCTTTGTGACCATGGCAGTAGAGACAAGAGAGCATCACCTTCCTATTCTCACCTGGTAAGACAACTCTCAGATCTTTCTCTCCCATATGGTAAGATCTTATTGGTGCTTCAAGTTCCATTAATACTCATCTCCAAAAGGTGGGGAAAACTGATGGCAGCAGTCAGAGACCATGTATTTGAGGAAGAGACCATGTGTTAAGGAGCCAAATAAAAGAGAGGTCAGAGGTGGGCAAGTGGAAGTATGTGTTTATTTTTAATTTAATTTTATTGCTGACAGTATTATAAATGTTTTCCATTTTCTCCCTTTTTGAAAGTGAAAGTATTTAAATGTGCTTTTGTTTCAGTCTTAATTTCTAGATAGAATAACTCAATTATTTGATAATTGAAGTGATAATTCTCTTCCATGGAGAGATTGAAGTTTGTAGAGAAAAGTGATAGAATCTAAATGTTGGAAAAGGTGTTTGAAATCAGCTGGTCTATTCTCCCACCCAGTGTGATGTTCTTGACAAGGATTCATCCAGTGTCTATTTGAACACCCACAGGGATGGGGAACTACAGATGAGCTCTTTTTCAAGATTATCTAACTACCTTCATTGTCTACTGCATTCATCAAGCAACTTTCATATTGGGAAGGATGCATAGTAGTCTACTTGTGTTGCCATAACAAAATACCACAGACTGGTTGTCTTAAACAACAGAAAAAAAAAATATATATTTTTATTGATTTCAGAGAGGAAGGGAGAAGGATAGAAAGATAGAAACATCAATGATGAGAGAGCATCATTGATCGGCTGCCTCCTGCACGCCTCACACTGGGGATCGAGCCTGAGCATGTGCCCTGACTGGAATCAAACCTTGACCTCCTGGCCCATAAGTTGATGCTCAACCCCTCAGCCACACCAGCTGGGCCAGAAGTTTATTTCCTCACAGTTCTGGAGGCTAGAAGTCCATAAACAAGGTGGTGGCAGGGTTGTTTTCTTAAGTCCTCTCTTCTTGGCTTAAAGATGGCCGCCCTTTTGCTGACTTTTCACATGGCTGTCCCTCTGTGCATGAGCACCCCTAGTTTCTCTTTTCTTAAAACACGTCTTATTGGATTAGAGCCCCACCCTAACTTCATTCATTTAATCGCTTCTTTAAAGACTGTATTTGACTAGAAGCTCCTGAAGGACAGAAATCCTGCCTTTTCCATCTTGGGTTGCCAGAGTGTAGCATAGTATTTAGCACATAGTAAGCATTCAGTACTCCAATGACCCCCAGTGAAATGAACTGACATGCATCTCTTTATTCCTTGTGCTATCATGTTGGAAGCCAAAGCAGGATTGGATGAAAATGGTTGAAGACACAGGAGAAAACAGTCTCCTGAGGATGCCTGGGCACATCAGGTAAGTCTTAAGTGTGTGACTATCTTTTGAGATTTTATACTTATCAGTTATGCAATGAGTTTTCATTGTAACTGAATGGCATTCATACTGGGAAACAGGTGTCAACGGTAATGTGATGATTTCTCATTTCCAAACAACTAGGGGCAGGTCATTGCAGATATTTGATAAAGCCAGTAGGTTTGCTTTAAATGGTTCAATGAACTGCTCTTTCTATTCTGTGTAGACAGATATTACCATTGTTTATGATTTTGGGGCAGGTTATTTTGTTCTAGATGACATATTTTCAATGAGGCATGCTCTTTTATTATTATTTCTTTGCCCTTCTCATTTAATGATATTTATAAACTCTTGGGTGTCACAGGTTCTTATTTAGCAGCAGAAGATTCATCCTGCTTGACTAACAATGTATCTATCATTCAGTTTCGCCCAACACTAATTGCTCAGTTGGTGGAGCTTGCATCTGGCTTCCCTGTTTCTCCATATGTACACTTCTTTCTAATGTCACAAATGCCCGTATGTGGTAGCCACTTTTATTTCCTCCATTTGCTTCTGCGTTTGTCCTGATGTTTCTTTCTACTTTTTCACGTTGCTATTAATTTTGAAAGGTCAATTGTTAATTATACACCTACCTTCATAAAATAAATATTTAAATACATATATTATTTTCACACTCACTACTAATTTTTTCCTTTGGACCTAGTTTGTTGAATATGGAGGATAAAGGTTAACCTTCTTGGCCTTCGAATATCACATACTCCAAACTAGGAAAGTAATTCTTCAGGACTGAAAATAGGGCATGAATAAATCGACAGACTTCAATATTGCTTGGAGCCATAGGAAATTATGGAAATGATCAAGAGAGTAGTTGGCATGGGAAAACTTTACTTGTTTATAGAGTAGTTATAGGACAGGTTAAGTAGCATATCCTATGTGGCTTGTGGTTCATGGATTAGACTGCATAATCTCTGGAAACATAAGGGACATCTGTGAATCCACTGTTAGTTCCTAAACTAAAGGCCCATAGGCCATTTGTTGATGGGGACAGATTCTTACACAGATTAGCAGGTGAATCTTTTCTAACACTGAGAAAGCTTGATGTTGGGGGTGGGGGTGGGGGGTAGTTATCCAAAAAGTGACATTAAGTTCCACAAACAGTTCATGAGATTAAAAAAATGAGACAAACCTCACATTGGATGTGAAAATAAAATAGTTATGAAAAATATAGTGGCAAGCTGGTAAGTCTACAACAGTGAAATCCTTTTGTCAAAGGGGTAGAAAATCCTCAGCAGAAATATTAGAAAAGTATGTAAGTACCAGTGCTCTTACTTAAGGAAGTAGACAGTTCACAATGGCCAGTGTTTCATTCAACAGAACTAAATAGGGTTAGAATGATAATTTAAAGTTGTTTCTCCATATGAAACTTACTTGAGTGTCAGACTTCCAGAAAGAACTCTGAACAATACCTTGCTATTTTTTCAGATATGTACATTTCTGACTTTTTACACTTTTACCCACTCTGAGTGTACAAAAATTATGTGTTCAAAATGTGTATATTTTTCTTAGCGAGAACTGATAACATGATAGTTTTCATATGAGAAGGATGGTTATCATAATTTTGCAAGATTGGGCCCCTGTTGCATTTAGTTGTTAGCAGAAGTGAGGGTATGTGATTGGTAGGGGTGGTGGTGAGTGTCAACAAAAGACAGAATAGATGCTTCTTCCTGTAATCTCCTTGTTTTTCTTATATAACTGACTATGTACATTCAACCCTCTAGCTCTCCAGACCATCTGTTGATTACCAGGCTCCTGGGAAGAGTTTTCTGGGTGGGCCAGGTCTTTGCTGTGATAGTTAAATGACAACAGTAACAATGGCCATCAAAACACCTGCAACCCCACAAGGCTTGTAAGAAACTTGTGTCACCCCCCGCCCCCCTCCTCCCAATGAACTGATGACACATGGGACTTGTGTCCCATAACAATTATCAAACGGGATGCCATTTCAGTTCCCCCACTCTGTGTTATAAGGTAATGATTTGGGGACATTTTCAAAGGGAATAGGCCGCCAAGACCATGTCTTTCAGTGCATGACCTCACTCCTGAGAAATTCCAGCAAGTTATTAAGCAATTTTATTTTTTTTTACAAGGAGAATTTCAATGTTCCATTCCTGGACCGTGTTACACATGGTATTTGGCGACCTCATTTTTCACTTAGGCTCGTGAGCGCTGCCACTGCACTTCTGACAGGCTGAACTGAGCAACAGCCTGGAGCATAATGCACACACAGATCCAAGCAAACTTGGCTTCAAGGTCTATATCAGTGACACCACTCTCCAAGGGAAGCAAATATTCCCGTTCATTTAATATCTGAAAATAATCTTCTAGTGTCCGTTAGACTGGCGTTGGAGACTGGGAAGGTGACCCAGGTGGTTACAGTCCATAGAACATTTATGTTCTTTGACGACCCACTCACTTCTGGGCTCCTGGGAGCTGTTTCCAATGGAATGGAGAGTGGAGAGAATCATAATTATGTCTCAGCCCTGGTTCATCACCCAACAGGGACCTGTATTTCTACATGTGCCCTTATAAATCTTTTAGCTAAATCAGGCTCAAATGTAAAACCCAGTCCCCTAGGGAGCTTTTCAATATAAACCAAAGTCTGGTTTGGGCTGATTTTTTTTTTAACTTTGTGAAATGAATTTACTCATGATAGTTACAGATTTAGTGCAAAGTCTTATTTATTTTACATGACACTGACAACAAAAACAAAACAAAAACCAAATGAACAAAAAGCAGAAACATCTCTTGAATACCTTATAACATATAGATCAAATTCTACTACTATATACATTTATATTTATGAAAATATAGCTTACCGGCTGATAGTATATTAAGAGGAAGCATAATATATTGGGGTAATGGACTGTCATTATTTTGCTTTTTAACTAAATACTGTTTTTACCTTCTTGTAGTATATACTCATAAGGAGATAAAGTAATGGAAATATGACAAACTTGTCCTTTCTGGTTGTTCTTGTGTCCCTTGACAATTATCAAACCTGATGCCGACTCAGTTGGGTTCAGTACAGGTTAAATCGTGAGCAAGTAGCATTCTGGCGTTAATCTCCTGAGGAGCGCTACCCTGATGCCCTGACTACCCCCAAAGGAAGAGATTCTATCCATCAGTGTTATGGGAGCCAAGCCCTTTACAATCTGGATTGGCTGATGTTACATTTCAAAGTCCAGACAGAGTGATACATTTCTCAGGAATGAAAAGAGAAGAAAGTATTGCAGTGAGGGTCACTGGTTTTAATCTTTGTAATTAATTACCCTTCTATAGCTTTTCTTTTCACTACAGATCTTTTTTATATTGAACATTCAACTCCTGATTTCAACCTCTGAATTTGAATGTTAGAATAAGTTACTGGAAGCTGTTAGCAAAAACTAAGTTGCCTGGAAAGGATCCTTGGGAGCTCTAGAATCCTGCAAAGAAATAATGGAAAACCCAGGGACCTCTAAATGCCATGTGACCTGCTGGGGGAAAAATAGCTTGCATTTTCTGGGGGAAAGGTGACTCTGTATTCATGTAATCATTTCAATTATGATTCTGCTTATTAGCTGTAAACCCCAGAAGTCACAAGGTTAATAGAAACCTTTCCAAAGACATATGCGTTAAACTTAGGGAATAGGGTCATATATTTTCAGAATTCAAGGTTTATTGGGAGGGGTATCTGTCTAGAGCAGCTGTGGGCAAACTATGGCCCGCGGGCCGGATCCGGCCTGTTTGAAATGAATAAAACTAAAAAAAAAAAAAAAAAAAAAAAGACCGTACCCTTTTATGTAATGATGTTTACTTTGAATTTATATTAGTTCACACAAACACTCCATCCATGCTTTTGTTCTGGCCCTCCGGTCCAGTTTAAGAACCCATTGTGGCCCTTGAGTCAAAAAGTTTGCCCACCCCTGGTCTAGAGTCTGTGTAGGGAACACTGGCTGCTGGCACATATGTTCTTGGCTTCTGTATTCTTTCTGTCTGCATCAAACACAGCTTATTCTTCAAACTATCAGAAGCTATGTAATCCTTAGGGATGGATGTCCCCTATATCCAGTATCATGTAAGCAATAGAGGTATGTGTCTATTTACCTAACTAAGAAAGGGCCTCGGCAAGCAATTTGTAATATTTAGTGATATGCTTTTGTATTTTAGTACATAATTTATGTTAGAGTAAATTTTTTAGGTCTGATTGTTTTGGTTGATTCACTTTGAATTTCTAGCTCTTAATTCAATATAGTTTAAAATTGATTTTCTGCCCTGACTGGTTTGGCTCAGTGGATAGAGCGTCGGCCTGCGGACTGAAAGGTCCCAGGTTCAATTCCGGTCAAGGGCATGTACCTTGGTTGCAGGCACATTCTCAGTAGGAGGTGTGCAGGAGGCAGCTGGTTGATGTTTCTCTCTCTCATTGATGTTTCTAACTCTCTATCCCTCTCCCTTCCGCTCTGTAAAAAAATCAATAAAATATATTTTAAAAAATAAAATAATATTGATTTTCTGTTTTTAACATGTGCGTAGACCATGTTCAAAAGTCTGCCAAGGATGCTGTAAATGAAAAAGATAGCAGTAATACAAATAAGGAATTAGCATATGAAAATTTTTAACCTCAGGAGTAATCAATAAATGCATGTTAAAATGAGATCCCCCCCCCCCCCCCCCCCGCCATGAAATGATCCAAGGTGAAAAAAAGAGGCGCTGATGCTGGGGCCTGCGGCCTGCAGGCTGTTCTGCTGTAGGAGTGAGTGTCCTGAGAGAGAAAGCCAAGGCCCCAGGGAAACATCAAGGTTGGAAGCGGCAGGAAAAGTTTTTGGAAGGATTAGCACTTGAGCAAGCACTTGGACGAGGGATGGAATTTAAACCGAGGGAGGGGGGGATGGAAGGCAGGACACACTGCACCATTAAAGGTGGTACCCTCTCACTCCATCATGGTTCCGAGATTTAGGCATCCTGGCAC